GCGCCCCCATGAACCCACTCAGGTGATCTACAAGGTCTTCAGCTATCTTCAGCCCTCTTACCCCCCAAGGTGTCTCAGATGTCCATATCTGTTATCTGTACCACCTCATACCATCTTCTTCAGTCATGGAAGCACATACAGTAAAGGTACCATGATGAAAAAATCTTGGAATCTGATATGACCTGACTAGTCCTACATACAGAGACTAGAAGCTTGTTGTGTCTTGGGTGATTGGATTGTGTTGCAAGGGTTTGGATATTGTATAGTGACATCTGATGATTAGATTGTACTCTAGACAAGAAAGCCATCTATGAAGGTGCCATCAACACCCAAACCAATCCGACACAATACAACTTTTGGAGGGTTTCCATGTCGTATTGGCCAACCCATATATTCAGACCAATACCCAATACAATATGAGGACAAAAAAATCCGGTTGGCCATATCGTGTTGCTGAAGCGATACAAGCCAATACCGTAGTTAAAGATTGGTTGCAAGGCTTTTCAAGTAAGAAGAAGGCATACTGCCTCCATCATGTATTGTGTTGCTGATACCTGATATGGAAAATCCTCACTCCTCATATCAGGTTGGCTGACCCAACATGGGAAACCCAATGATTTGGTGCCGGGTTGGCAACACAAAACCAATCTGATACCAACATCCACATTGGATTGGTTCAGGTGTTGGTGCCATACAACTGAATACATAGATAAAGAGACCTCATCTACAATATAAAGGCACAAGGCTTGACAACTGGGCAGTGTTGCATCTGCTGTGCTCCAACCCTGTTACATCATACATAAGGCATGATTCATGACCCAGCAAATTGTGATAGTGTTTGCCTTGCCATCAAGTACCACATCCAACCAAAATACATTTTGAAGTTGCTGCCTGACCCGCTGCGCAACAAGATGTGTCAAAGCTCAAGTTCTTTTGGGCCGCAACAACATTTGTTGCATTACTTCCCAAAAAAACTTGAAATTTGATGTTTTTTTGGCGCAGTTGCATCTTTTGCGTTGCGGGGAGGTCAACACGCCGTGCAACCCAGGCTAACGTTTTGTTGTTGCGGTACTTACCGCAACACAGTGTCTGCCGCTGGGTTTTGTTGCGTGTTGCGGAGCAACACACCAAAAAACCCGCTTTCTGTGGTGTGGTGTGTTGCTGGCACAGGGTTGCAACATCCCACCAAGGGTCTATCAATCATTTCATTACTAGTGATGTCAATTGACCAATTCCTGATAGTGTTTGCCTTACGGCCACCTTGCTTGCGCCATCAAGGGTGTAAATCATGTTGATACCATCAACTACCAATCATTTGCTCAGGTCGCGGTGGAGGGAGTGTTTTGTACACCATAATCTACCACTATTATAGGTTTTGGTGGACTTTATTGGTTAGGTGAATCAACTGTCCCAAATGAATCAAAAATTTTAGACACAAGAAAAAACATCCTAAGTTCATCCCTCAAATTCTCAACATGCAAGAAATTTGTGCAATTCAATTAACCTTATTCTAAAGGCAAAAAAGACTGTTTACGTAGTCCAGTTGTCATTCAAGAATTCCTTAATACCTCAGCTTGTCCCATCAAACTTTTAGAATATTACCTTTGAGTAAGAGACAACTCTTTCATCACTTTGACTAAACTCTATGTTACTGCCAACGGTACTCCACCTTCTTTCTCTTGGTCTATTTCCAGATTTTGCATTCATTTTGATGAATCTTTCTCTGGCCACTCCTTACATTCTGGGGAAACCACAGATTTGGTGCAAGCTGGCACTAACATAGATTCTATCAAAAGTGCTGGTCGCTGGTCCCCTGAGACCTTTTGAATGCATGTATGTGGACATGTTGCCTTACAATTACCTAAGAATCCAAGTCATGTAATCGGGCACACTTCTTGTGTGGGCTCCAGAGTTTCAAAATTGAGACTGATTTGTGGTGCAAGTGTGTTTCAATTTGTTTTCAAAGAAAATATAGAAAGGTTTTTGTACCTTTATGGCTTTCACCCCTCAGTTGTATATTATGTATTTTTTTCTCGGACCAGTCAACATTTTTCAGACCTTTGTGTTTTCTCAAAGATTTCTACCTTTTTGGGTCTTTGAGACTGTTTTTTGTTGTTGCTGTTGATGTGAGGATCCCAAAAATAGCCTTGGCTCCTCAGAAACTTGAAAATGAGGGCGCTTACAGTTTTTGGGCCTCAATCAATACCTGTCAAAGATTACAAAAAGCTTGGGGGTAGCAACCATACAGATCATTCCTGTACAGTTGTCTCTGACATAACCCATCTGTGCTGTAAGCCATACTCCATCAAAACCCATACAAATTTGGCCATCTGCAGAAAAATTGCAGGAAAAGTGGGTACATAACCCATAACTTTGTAGTACCCCATAACCCATAAGGTTTTGGCGGGAAACCAGAGCTCATAACCCATAACCAAGGGGTCATTTGAAAAAAAATGACCGAGGGAGGCTTGAAAAACTTCAAAAATAAAGATTTACACACAAACTCAAGTAATCAATTTGATTGTAACCTTATTCAACCTTATTTCAATTTCACACACCGCACATCACAAACTCCATTACATTAGGCTTCCTGCAAAATCTTTGTCATAACCCATATTTTGTCTGCAAATATATAATCATGGCTTTTGAAAGAGATTGAGGTAGCCTATACTCTAGCAAAACCCATACTTTTGGGCGACATTTTTTGGGTATGGGTTATGTCAGAGATGACTGTATGTGCATACATATGCTGTTTGAGGTACCAGCGCTCAGCAGCTGTACATCAACCTAAAACGGACTGAGCCATCAGATGTAAATGCCAACAAGACCAGTTGCATTCCAAATCAGACTTTCTGGCTGTACAGATAGCTGTTTCCATCAAGTTCTTCCACTACCAAAAATGTGATATATACTGGATAGAAAAGAAAAGTATTGATGTAGAAAAATGCTGAGAAACCAGGAAGAGATCAAAAAATACAAACAAACTCTGTCTTCTTCCTGGATCCTGCAGTTGCATTATGATTTTTTTTTATTTTACAAGCAGATAATGGTAAAGATATTGTCACTAGGAGCAAGCTTCTAGACAAGAGAATAGGTAAGGAGTTATTGTGTTGTTGCCACAACAAACAATGTGTAAGCCTTCATGTTGTTAAGCCTTTAATGTATCTTGCTTACTCCCACCGCTTTGCTTTCATGAGGATGCACAATTCCCTCATATAAGGATATATAGTGGATGATCACTATCTCATTCCCACTTCTTAAGAATCTCTCCTCAAAGGTTTTTCAATTGCTATATACTCAACTATTCTCATATCTTATTATTGTAATTCCAGCTCTATGCCCCAATTTTGGCAAAACCCCCACTTTGTGAGTTTAACACAGATCACATCAGGAAACCCTCAAATCTATAATGTTGAAAATCATCTGATAACTCCCTGTAACAATACATGCAATTCAACCCATGATACTGAAGACATCATTTTGAATTTTGCAAACATCAATAACTTTTGCAATTCCAGTTCAAACACCTTGATTTTGAGTTCATTAGAAAGCTGGACTGCTCTTCTACAATGCTCATTATTGTATCACAACCGCAGCTAGTCTGAAAAAGATTCTTCATGGCCATATATGCACAACACTAAAAGTGACTGATCAAGTGTGTATATGACAAGATGACACTTTAATTCCCAAGGAAAGTTTAAAGGGGACCAGTTCTGCTTTCAAATGAAGTAACAACCAAGATGTTTGAAGTAGACCTACCTGATTTTGTGATGGTTATAGACTGGGAGCAATGCTGACCTTGTCAGCGCAGCATTCTCCTTTTTGAAAATCTGCACTACAAGGCTTCAAAAAAATGTTTGTTTTACAAACCGCAATGCTCCACAGAATGAGCCTGCTGCAAGGTGTTGTGTTGCTTACCCGGTGTTGCTCCAGAGTTGTAAGATCCACCAGAGCTCAGAGTAAGATGATTAGAAGGACACCTTGGCCATCCCACTGGCATCAAACCCTCTTTGTACAGGTCAACCAACCAAAGTCTTCACTTGGTGAGCCCAGTGAAGACTTTATTATCTGTCTACACTTTTTCTTTTTAGTGAAGAGTCAGCCCAATAGTTGCTGACCCCTCACAATCAAAGTCAAAGGCTAGCAAATGGTCTCAAATCAAGGTTTGGGCATTTTTTCATTTTGAATATCTACACTTGTTTTAAAAATGCTTGTCAATTTTTGTTTGACAAGATTGAGGATCAGCTGCGACAGTCGAGCAAATTGAGCGGTTGGGGTGCCTTTTCATTCAGGAACCTCAAGAGAGCTTATAAAAAGCTCTTCAAACCACGAGTAGTATCCGTGATCAACTCACACGGGTTTATAAGGACCAGGTGCTGGGGGTAGGGTCAAACAGAACTCACCAATTATCCAAATCACGAATCTCAACACCAGAATCACCACTTACTTCCACTGCCTTGGAACTGTGTTCCCATTGCTGTGAAATTACACCGGCGATTTCCGGGAAATTAGAATCACATACTGCATCACCGGAGTTTTTCCGTCGTTGTCAAAAGAGGGGGAGGGAAAGAATAAGAGGTATACATTTGGGCACGCCAGCGGTATTTGCTACGACGGTTTCAGTCTCACAGAGTACTGAAAGAAAGGGTATATCCCTGGTGAGCCCTGGTAGGGCAAAGTTGAACTTGAAGTGTTCTTCCGGTTGCTGGCCATGAGGTGTCGTAACTCATGAGAGGTCAGAAGAACTTCTTGAGTGTGTAAGATGCTTATGTGCCACAGTCGCGCTTTGTAACCGATGGCCTTCCGAGCGAGATGGTCTGCCTTCCCCGGGATAAGCTTTTGGCCGGGGCAAGGGCTACCCGCGCACAAGGACAATGTAGAACCTGACGATGACAGAACGTGTGACACGATTTGATGAAGGTCTTCAAGATTCTATCATTTTTTGTCTGGATGATCACTTACCAATTGGAACTCAACTCAGACAAAAGCCGACCAGGGAAATGCTCAGACTTCTCCTTCGCTATTACGAACGCTCCTTTCGCTCCCATCCTATCCTCACGCTAGCACTGGCGAACGGTATCTGTTCAATATGTGGAGATGGTGCTGCTCAGCTTATTCCCATTCTAGTCAGTAATCATTCTCAGATACGAATCTCGTGCCAATCTAACTGATACTTTTTGTGACATATTTTAATCTTGCATCTCAACCTGAATGTATCTCTAGACAAGCCAAGAACAACCTGACGTTCAGTTATCCTTTGACTTCTCGCGCCTGTTGCGGTATTTTGTTTTTGGCCTCAATATGGGCCCGTACGTGATTTCACTTTCTACCGATCGCAACTCTTACCTCCAACTTACCAACTCGGTCGCCTTCTTACACCGCACGGAAGGGTTTAGAATTGGAGGGAAGTGGAATGAGGTGAGGCAGGAAAAAACTAGGCTTGTCTTGAATATCTGAAATGTGATGGTGCGAGTAATGGGTTGACTCCATTCTCGTCGTCGACCTGTGAAGTCTTTTCAGCTACTGACATTATTCCTGTTTTTCTTCCTTCCACTTACTTTGATTTGATCGTAGTTTCTTGACCGTCACCTTCAGCCGAAACCTAAGACTATTGAAGCCGGGGAGAAATTGGGAGTAGAGCACGATGTCGAGATGAGTCTGATAGGATCTCCAACTGCTTCTTCATCGACTCTTCCTACTCATTCGACCTCCAAACCCACCGGGGGGGCACCCCTTCCCCTTTTAACGATATTCAAGATGGTCTTGGCTGGTCTGTGATCGCTTTTATTTGACCGAGGACCAGATATTGAACTGAATTTTTGCTTCCTCATTTGTGCTATCCCATATTTATTCTTGTGCACTTTTGTATCGGAATGGACATTTGATTTAGATCAGCTCCTGATGTTAGTGCCCTAGCTTGTCTGCCTTCTAGTCCTGTGATCATGTTCCTTGGTCTCATTCTTCATGCTTTCGACCTGTCTTCACAACACCTATATCTGGCGATACTATATTTGCTTCAAATGGGACTTTTCAATTCACAGGGCGCCGTTGACGTTATTGCGTCAGTGAAGTTTTTCATACTTTAAGGCTGCGGTATAAACCTCTTTTGACTTTCGTGTTCTCTCCCAATTTGTCAATAGTATTTTTGGGCTATATGGCCATCACTGAAGGTGCTGATTTAGTCGAACTCCAGAGCCGGATCCAGCGCCTATTTTGGAAACTGTTGATTGTGAATTGGCAGGTTTGGCCAATCATACAGGTAATCTATCAAGCGGTTTTTGTCATTTCCTGGTGTCGGAAGTTATGGCTAAAGTTGAGTTGCCACTACGTAGGTGATCAATTTTCGATTTATGCCCCTGAGGTTAAGAGTGTAAGTTTTGAAATTGTTCTCTACCCAAGAAAATCCTCGTCATCACTAGGTGTCTCACAAGGGATAGCATTAGCTCTCGGAATTGCGGTGCCCAAATTCTTATCTTGTAAAGATGCGCAAACATTGCCCAGCGCGCTTACTGAGATACGACATTTTATGCATCTCTCCTCAGGCCATTCGGAGCGGGCTGTGGAATCATTTGGACAATCTTTCTGAGCTACGCTTCCGCGTGAAATTTTCGTCGATATTCCAATCTTTGTTTCTAGAATCTGTGGAATTGCATATGGTTAGTTTTGATGGTTTGCATGTACAGGCGCTTGTATTTCAGTTTCATAATTGCAAGACGACGCAAACAACTAAAACACAAGGATCCTGAGAGACATGATCTTTGGGAATCGCGCATGGTGATGGACTCCCGGGTGCTTGGTCGCTTGGGTTCCTTTTGGTCACCCAGTGTTTTTTCAAAGGGAACCTGCAGGTTGTAAACTTGTCCAAATCTGAAACATAATAGAAAAATGGGAACCTTACAAAATAGAAAGATGAATGTCAATCTGATGTTGCAGGCACATACTGCATTCCATAGAAGTCATGAGATTTGATAAGCGAGAATCGGGCCCGTAAATGGCCTTGAGAGGTGTTGATTGGATGTTGCATCAATTTCACGATTTTGTGGATGGTCCATGTCATGGAAGCTTGACTCTTGAGAGGTTCGTCGGTCACTGGTGAGGGCCGCCGCATAGTTGGCAGCGGGCAAAGATGATATGGCGAGAACGGGCAAAAGTTGCACCCACATAGGCGAACGCGAACAAAAAGTCAACATGCCTATACCTGAGCGCCCATACCTCTTCTTGTCTCTAGATGGTGCAGCATTCATACGGCCAAGATCTTCAATTGAGCTTGGCGAAAGCTCTTGTCATGCGCATTATATAGAAGTCATACGCAAGAACGCGTTCAAATGTGAAGAGCTTATCAGAGTAAGGCCGTTTGTTTGATACGAACTCGATCAGTTGCTCTTATACACTTCTCGAAGAATATCCAACTTGTCGTGACCGCTACATTGCGCTTGCCCTAAACCAACATTCGAAAACCGCGCTTCCATGTATGCCCTCAAGACGTCAATCATCTTTACGATCGTGACGGCCAAACTCAAAGGACTATCAGCGACTGGAGAGCCCTGCCGCGAAGCGAACAATAAGCTCGATCCCAACACGCACAAGTTTTTGTCAGATTGTGGTCCTATCGATTTTTGTAATGGCACAACACAGACTTGCGAGTTGAAAGGCTGCCGTGTCGACGAATTTCCTTTTGGTTATGATTCTGATGACACTCTACCTGAAATGTGCGCAGATGGTAAGACTTGATGGATGACCTTTCATAAGATGATTACAATGCACTAATGGGGGTATCTTTGGGTCTTATGTTCTACCAACAGGCTACGTGTGTCCCGACGAAGAAAGTTCTTGTCAGCCATTGATGGCTTTGGGAGGCCCTTGTCAACTCAATCGGGATGGTTAGTCATCTCGAATCGCTCCGCAGAACCTCATGCGGTCCCCTTGATCGAGTCAAGAGGTAGAACGTTTAGTTGATCATCGTTCCGCACTTTACTTCCAGATGAATGCGCGCTGAATCCAGTCTCTCTATCGAATGCTTCAAATATGGTAGTGTGCCTTCACTACACTTGTCAGGCGGCGAACATTTCTTTGGGTCAGGTAGGTTGATAAATATTTTAACTAACTGCGTCCGGGGAACGGTGTGGTAGTTTTCCTGACGAAGAGCTGACGACGCGACGTGGGGCATTAAATGTCATATTAGACCTGTTTAATCGATAACACGGTCTACAGTGGCTTCTTACCAGACGGGTCTTTGTCGTCAGACGTCGTAATGCGCGACAACTGCGACATCGCTCTCTATTGCGATTCGGAACGGCTGATATGTCAACAGACTGCTGCAATTGGTCAAACGTGCCAAGCTGACTCTCATTGCAACTCATCGAACTGCGTCTTCTCATCAACAACAACAAATCAAAGTATGTTGAATCAATCCATCTCGCTCTCCACCTACAAACAGAAGGGCACCTGTGCACCATCTCCAGCTACGCCCTTACAGCTATCGAATTGGGTTTATGTGTTTGTTGTGGTTGGGATATTATTAGTGATCTTTGGTATTGTCTTCGGACTCCTACAAATTCATAAAGTGGAGAGCAAGTCCAGAATGGAAATGCTAAATAAATACTGGGACGAGCAACTAGCGTTCAGAGAAAGTATTATTAATTTACATGCAGCACTGGGCGGTACGGCAAATTCAACTGGACATCGAAAGAGGCTTGAATGAATGCCAATGCAATCCACTTCATAGCATCCAAGTCACTAGGAAATCTCTTCAATATACAGTTCTAAATAATGTCAAAAATTGGGATATTTAAGCCCTTGCTGTATTGGCACATGGCTTATATGGGACAAAGGATCATTGTTGAGATGGATAGGTCAATTGTTCTACATCTTGTCTCCTACAATTGTCCATGTCAATCCTGGCTTGTTGCAATTATCAGGAATTATAATCCTTATTCATAACTCGAAAACCAAATAGTCAAAGTACTTTACAATCGCAGGAATCCTGAGGAATCAGATCAAGAAAAGATATAAACACTCAGGCCTCACATGGGCGTTTTATTGAGTTACATATTTAGAGATCAGAGTTGACTTCAACTCGAACCAAAGGATGCTTTTGTCAAAAGGAACCAAGATGCGGAGGATTCTCAGCATTACTGTGCACTTGATTTGATTGGTTTTTCTTTTCTTCTTCAAATTACATGATTTACTCCAGAATCCTTCAAGTAGGCATTCATAGCCGACTGTTTAATGACAGTACTCAAAGGTGCCTTGTGTCTGTCCGTATTGGCCTTGCAGCTCCTTGCAGTCAACATGGGCGACCTGTTTTAGGATTTATCCAAAAAACCCTGGTTTGTGAATCAGGACAGGCAACGGGGCCGGATTCTTGTCAAATGGTGATTTGGGGGATTTACTTTCACAAGCGCATTCAACCACAGTCCTTTCGTTATACTTAGTGGCCATCGAAATTCAAAACACTTCGAATACCAATCAAAAAGAACCAACTCTCTTGATCTTATAGACAACACAGAAACATCCTTCAGCAAGATCCCCGTATTTTGATACGGTGAAATCTGCGGGAATCATTTTCAACCAATTGTGGACCCGTTGTTGCGAAAACTGATCCAACATCAGCGTTGGACAACGTCAAGGAAAAACATGATCTCAAGTACATGGTATTCGAAATGTCTTTCAATCGAAATCGAATCTCATCTTTGTTCCGCACTTGACTTGTCATCAACCTAGGCACTAGCTCGTCGCAATGTATGCGTCTCTACCGAGCCCGGCGTGATCGTGAGCGAGTTACAATCCAAGAACAATACGCCATACTCGGATTCATCTCCTCTGGCACTTACGGAAAGGTATACAAAGGACAGCCCAGAGCACTAGTCGATTCACATCTTCCTGGACAGAATTCTAGGGAGGCGCGAGGAGATCTGGTAGCGATCAAGAAATTCAAACCAGGTCCGTCTTTCCATATTCACCTTCCTGGATTTCTGGCTGATCCTGTGTGAACTAGATCGAGAGGGTGAGGTGAATTATACTGGTATTAGCCAAAGTGCTTGCCGTGAAATCATGGTCTGTTGTGAATTGATTCCTGTATCTTACCACTTCCCATATTGACCTGCGCCTGGTTTTTTCTCCCACATTTCATTCCAAGCTCAACCGTGAAATCCAGCATGAAAACGTGGCTTCTCTGAAACAGGTTATGTTACAAGACAAATCAATCTACCTCGTCTTCGAGTATTGTGAGCATGACTTTCTTGTATGTCTGTTCTACCTCTAATTTCTCTACCATCTCTGTCTGTATCGCGTGACTATCAGTTGAATTATACCTTGGAATTTACTTAGCAAATCATCCACCACCACTCTCAATCGCGTAGCAATATACCTGAAAGTACCCTCAAATCCCTGCTTTGGCAGCTCCTCAATGGTGTTAATTACTTACACGCGAATTGGATCGTACATCGTGACTTAAAGCCCGCCAACATCCTAGTCACTGATCGTGGGGTGGTAAAGATAGGTGCGTCCAGCAGTACACTGGTGTTTCCAACAGGCATTCTTCTGACTAAGAGCGACCTCAACTTGTATATCCAGGTGATTTGGGCCTTGCACGTAGCTATCACTCACCTCTACAATCGCTCTACTCGTCCGACAAGGTGGTTGTGACGATTTGGTACCGATCACCAGATCTGTTACTTGGTGCTCGTCATTATACTCCATCAGTCGATATTTGGTCAGTTGGATGTATCATGGGTGAACTCCTCTACCTTCGTCCGATGTTTAAGGGTGAGGAAGCCAAGCCTGAACCGCATTCAAAGAAGGGTGGAAGTGGAGTTCCATTTCAACGAGATCAACTTCATAAAATTTTCGACATCCTCGGTCTAGCTACCAGTTTGGTTCAATTCTTTGAGTCTTTCCCAGAGTTCACGATTACTGACTTCATATTTTGGCGGCTGACTCATAGAAGAAGAATGGCCCTCTATTGTACATTTGCAAGAATACCCACATCTTGCTCGGTTTGAAAAGTAAGAGAAATACAACTGTTTTGCACCGATTGTCTCACTGACCTCCAATACAAAACACTGTCACTTGATTGTTCAAACAGGACTACCAACTCACTTCGACATTGGTATAATGCAAGGACGACTTCGTTTAGGTCTTCACCTGCAGCTCAAAACGAAGGCTATGATCTACTGTGCCAACTCCTTCGATACGACCCATCCAGCCGGATCACAGCTAAAGAATCTCTCACTCATAAATATTTCAGCTTGAGCTTCCCTCCGCTTCCGAGTCTAAATTGCTTTGATGGTCAACATGGAGTTGTCTATCCCGTCCGGAGAGTCACACCTGATGACTCAGATCCGAAAATGTCCGTGGCTGGTCCGGCTGCCCCCAGTGGTGGTGGAGCAGGCTTACTTGGTGCAAAGAGTACATACAATCCTCTCAGTGCTCTACATACAGCTAGCCGACCTGGTACTGCAGGACATGATGGACTACCTGTACGGAGCTCTAAACGCGCTCGATATGATTGAGTCCATGACAATTCTCTTCTGACGACAATCATGCATATACCATCAATGTAAAAACAATTGTAATCTAACCAGTACAAGATCTGTGATATAATTTATAATGAGTACCCCACAGTCATCAAAAATCACCTTTTACGCTTGTTTTGGCTAGTGGACTGCTTCTTGAGACTTGCCACTAGGGCACCCAACCCATCGTCACCGCGATCGTGCGGATCGGTTTTGTCTTTAGTAGAACCTGACGGAGGCTGGCCTCCGGCAGTTCCGGCGCTATCACTCTTGCGTTCTCTTTGGGATCGTGCAACTTGCAAGAGTTTTGACATGTTTTTGGTTTTCTTGTACCTATGGGAGCCAGAAGTATCAGTGTCATTTAGGGTCAGCAATCCAATAAAGATGTGACAAGAACGAAGATGAGGTGAACACTCCGCTTACTGAGGATTAGATGGGTCAATAGCAAACTCGTGATCGTTGTAGACCATCGCAAATCGTTCGTCTGCAGTGTTGATATCGAAATGATCCGCCGGTAAAGCCTCTTGCTCACTGCGCTTCATCTTCTTCAATAATTTGGAACGTCCTTTCAACTTTTCAGCCTTGACAATTTGATTGATATCAAAATGAGCTCGAGTAGGATCTGCTTCCTCATTGACATCAAAGAGTAATTCAAGCTCGGCTGCTCCACTCGTCTTCGTTTTATTGTCGTCGTCTTCGTCATCATTCGTAATCTTGGTCCTGTTCTTTTTCTCTTTGGCACCCTTTTTGGATTTCTTTAGAGGCTTCTCCGAGTCATCAAGTTGTTGTGAACCGGACTCGTTGTCCCGATCGACGTGAGGCGCGATTACAGAGTCTGATTTGCGCAACTTCTTCGGACGGGTCGATTCAATATTGCTTTCAGAAATTACAGCTTCCTTCTGGCTGAACGCAGGAACGAAAGTGATGTCGAGCTCCTGAGTCTCATTTGCTTTAGATGTCCCTAGATCGCTCAGCCCAAGAAGATCTCTCAGTTTAGATCGATTAGAGCCTTTTTTCGGTTTGAGGTCAGCTGAGTGTTCAGAAGAATTGTCCTCGTCGCTTGAGGGAGGGGCTACATATGCTCTGAAGTCTAATTCGTCCAGTTCTTCTCGAGTCATCTTTTGAGTATTGCGCCGCGTGACCTTTGTCCGGTGTGGATCTTCTGCATCCCATGTCAGCTTAACTTTGGAGTGTCGTAAAGCCTGGATATTGATCAGGTTCAGTGTACTGGGCTCATCAGCAAAGATTACGAGAGTTACTCACGTCAGTCGCATAGTCAACACCTTTATAGTTTGTTGAATCCTCTTTACATTCATCGTGTAAGTCACCTTCCTCGAACACCATGTCTTCGGGAACATAACTGTCAGGATCAGGAAGAGATTAGTCAACATTTGGTGATGTTGGATGCTCAATGATGAATGTACCTCAAGTCAAAAACGTTGGCGGTTCTCTCAAACTCGGTGCCCTCAATTTCTTCATAAACATGTGCAGCAGCATCAACAGAGTCAAGTTCGACTACCGCATAAAAGTATCGAAGGCGATTCAATTGGTATCGTCTGAGAGCTTCCTCATCAAGCTCAGCACCTTCGTCCTCAAAGGCCAATTCATCGTCTGAGTTCTCATCCTCTGAATTTTCGAGACCAGCCGTAGTACGAGAACCGTCTTTGAATAACTCTCGTGGCGGTCCTTCGACGTCTTCCTTACTCATTTGCTCCTTTCCAAATTGACTTTTGAAGATTGAAACTTTGATGACTTGTCCTTTTACTATCACATGTGTTTTATCTCCCTTTTCTGATAAATTTGATTCTGAACGTAGAGTAGATCGAGCCGGAGCAGTGAGAGAAAGGAGAGATGAAAAGACTTTGAAAAGATCGATTGGCTTGACATGATCCCAATCTAAATTTACAACCGCAATCCTTTTGGTAGGCTTAATTTGGTTTTCAGAATTCTCGGCTTCGGGTAGTTCTTCAAGTTTTGATTCATCGAGATCAACATAGAAATCAGACTGTTCATCTCCTCGAGTACGCCTTCGTTGGTGAGAAGCTCCACCAAGTTCAAGTTCAAGATCGTCCTCTTCATCTGACTCTGATTGAGATGATTCGAAATAATTCCTGTCCTGCTCTTCTTCACTACTGTCTTCTTCATCAGAACTCTCAAGTAAAACCTGACCACGTGCCAGATCCACAAAGTTGCTTTTCAATTTCGAAACTGGTTTCTTCGATTTTTGCTTGAGACCTAAATTTTGGGGTACAGTTGTTTTGGGATTATCAGATATTGAACATCATAGATGGCTTATCGGTTTACTGCTCACCTGATCCACCTGAAGTTGATTGCTTGGATGGTTTGGCAACAGGCTGAAATCGATCATCATCCAAGGCTTTAGTCTTAGCACGTTTACTGGGCCTTAGGAAACGTGGGTCAGTGTAGAGACTATTGAATCGTGGATCAGTGATGGTACTAGGATCGGATGGTGGCATGTTGATTTGATTTGGTGTTATTCACTTTCCAAAAGTTGAGACCAGTCAGTTGAGGTGAGTCGAAGAAGAACGAAAGAAAGAAAGAAAGACAGAAAGTGCGTTGAAATGAAAAATGGTATTGTTGAATATGTACTTTTTTTTCAGATCACATGACTAAATGTTACATAGCATACATATAGCTGACCTAATCCTCCATAATTTTTTGTGGTCTTCAAATTTTTGACACAACGACTCTGAAGCTTGCCTGCTTGATCGTGGGTCAAAGAAAACCAACTCAACTCAACTTGCCTTTCCTTCCATCCTCATCAACCCTTCGCAACATCACATTCTCAAAACATCATCAATACCCTCACTTCTCGCTTCTCACTTCTCATGGCTCGCTCAGATAAAATCAAAAAGCATCGAACAATGGAGACGGATCCACCTCACTTGGCTTGTATGGGAGTCAAATCTATTCCTGCTCTTTCACCACAAAACTCGAACCTCGACCTCATACCACCTACTCTCAGTCCTATCTCAGAGGGTTCTCACTTTGATATCTTGGCTCATCGTTCCTCTGCTCAACGGCTGGACAAACACTCGCGAGCTCAAGACACGAAGGCTATGGTACATCGTTGTAGATTCGTTGATTACACACCAGGAAGTATTACTGCATTGGCTTGTACTCCCTATACATGGGATCCTTCGCCACATTTTGGATTCCCCGAAGTGGGTGAGAAAAGTAGAGGGGTTCTAGCCGTCGGAAGGGGCAATGGAAACATTGAGATTTGGGTTTGGTTACCGGATAGCATTGGACCAAAGCTTGGAAAAAAGAAGTCGGGTTCTTCTCAGGGTTGGGTACTCTATCGGACTCTTCCTGGTCATGTACCATCGGAATCAACAAGTAGTAATACAAAGGCTGAGTCCTCTTCTGCTTTGGCTTCGAAAATCGAAAATTTGGTCTTTGCACATCAAACTACTGAGGTCGACCCTGATAACGAAGATGACGAGCCTAATGAGAAGATCAATGAGTTGACTTCAGCTTTGCCTCGACTTTTCGGAAGTAATGGTGGCGAGGAAGTCTTGGAATGGGAATGGGATGGTAGTCAAGCTGGTATTATCAAAGTGAGTTCGAGTTTTTACTCTTTTACAACACATGCTACCATACATATCACGCATCGATCTGATCACCACTTGATATCCTACACAGCGCACGCTACCCATGCCACCTTCGATTGCAGTCTGGTCCCTGGCTGTTTGTCCACAATCTAAGACTCTTGCAATCGGATGCGATGACGGTGTGATCAGACTGGCTACTATAGCGGATGATCAACTTGAGTTTATTGGCAAACTTGATCCATGCAAATCTCGCCTTCTCAGTGTGGCTTGGGGTGTACTGGATCCGCCGGCCAAGTCTAAAAAGACTATTGGGCGCAATCAAGTTGAGATGCGCAACTCAAATATGTTTTTGGTAGCAGGATGTGGGGATTCTGCTCTTCGTAAATGGAACGTTAGCACAGGTCGATGCGTCGGCAGGATGACCGTTGATAAACTTCACGGAGAACCGACTCTGGTATGGACTGTGGCGGTAGTTGGGTGAGTGCCCTTCTCTGTGCATTTTGTATATTGCATCAGTTCTAATACCCTCCCTGATCTTTTTCAGGAAATTCATCGTATCTGGTGACTCAATGGGAAACATAAACTTTTGGGACTCCAAGTCATGCGCCCGAATACAAAACATCAGAGCCCATCGGGCTGACATACTCTGTTTGGTTGTTTCACCCGATGGAAACGATGTATTCACCTCTGGTATCGATCAGAAAACGTGTCAGCTCACTCTGACCAACAAAGGCCAGGAGGGTCAACCCGATTTTTCCAAATGGATCATGTCTGCCTCGCGACGTCTGCATTCACACGATGTTAGAGCACTTGCAATCTCGCCTCCCTACAAGATTCCTACCCTCGTTCTCGACCCTTCTTCGTCAGAAAGAGTTCCACCAGCACCAGTCGAAGTGCCCGTCCTTATCTCTGGAGGTCTCGATATGACCCTCGTTCTGTGCCCTGCTGCCTCGCCTACTACAAGCTTTTTCAACCCCTTAACCGGAAGCTCGCAAGCTCCCCCAAATCCAATCTCAGATTCGGTGTCGCTCTTGTTTGGGGATTCAATACAACGCAAAGTATCGTATGTTACTCGGCGAGCGCCAGCCATTCAGCTCAGCACCGGGGGTCGTTTATTAGTTTGTCGTAAGGATCGTAGTATCAGTATTTGGCAGTTACGATCTTCAGCTTCTTCCTCTCTCACTTCTCCTCTGAATAGTGTTTCTGAGCCTGAAGAGAATGATGACCCTTGGCGGCAAGTGATAGATATGGATTTAAAGGTAGGTTTTCATCCACCCTATCTATCGAATGTTTTTGATCTGTGTTGAAATCGGATCTCCTGTATTTAGTTTCAGACCAATCTTGTGTCATCAGCCGTATCGCCTGACGGACGATGGCTCGCCGTGTCTGATCTTTATCAAACTAAACTTTTCATCTTACAACGGACTACTGATGGAAATCTACAACCTCGGCGGGTGAAGAACTTTGCACCTTTCCATACCATCAAACACCCAAGTCAAGGCGCATCTACAATGCATTTTTCGCCCGATTCTACTCGCTTAGTACTGGCCACCTCCTTCACTAGCCAGGTGGTCGTGGTAGGCCTTGATGAAGATTCTAAAGCGCAAACTCGGGTTTTAAGAGTCTTCAATCAGCATCGTACTCATCTACGCACTCATCAGAGTGATCATCGGATTGTGATCACCCCACCAAATTTATCACTTGCTTCACCCACACAAGATACTTTCGATGAAGATGGTACCCAGACTGATGACCTGACTTCAAGCAGGAACACAATCACCGCGATCGCAATTAGTTCTGATTGTCAATGGTTGGCTAGTGTCGATTCAGCACAAGTTCTACACGTCTTCAATTTAGATCTCCTGAAGGTGAGTCACTTCAATCATTCCTGCTAGTTCAAAAACTTGCGCTTACTTCGGACATCCTCTGATCAATCTTTGTCTATCGATCCTCTTAATTTCTAAAGCATCACTGTATACTCCCCACGCCTCCCCTCATCGTGAACTGTCTATCATTCTCACCCACAACACCCTCTACGCTTGTTATTGGCTTTGCCAACAATACCCTGCAAGTGATGAACGTTGAAGACCGCAAGATCCCAGAATGGGCACAACAAGTGTGCGCCAATCCACCGTATAATTTAACACAGTTACGTGATCCGATCATGGGGATCAGCTTCGAATCTCACGTGGATAAAGATGAGCGATCAATAAATGGATGTAACTCATCCATCAGCTCTGATACGAAGTCACATCTCCCACACGTCTTTCTCCTCTGGGGAGCTACCTGGACAGCTAAAGTCACATTACCAGATCATCAAAATGGAACCAGTTCCTCGCGTCAAAAACGTCCACGTCGGCTTGTGGATCTATTAGCCACAGGTGAAGATGAAAATCAAACTAATACTAATGGAGCAATCACACCAAGTGACGTGGCTTCAGTAAAATCTAATACTGAACCCGTTGTGAAACATTTCGTTCAAGTTAGTCATAAGTATCAACCGATCCTTTTGTTAGATTTTATTGGTCAAGATGAGATGGTGATTGTTGAAAGACCATTCTTTGGATTGTTGGCAAATCTCCCTCCGGCTTGGTCAAGAACTGGAGCATATGGTACTTAGAAAAAACAATTTTAATCAAACCATCAGAGTTGGACTATGCATCAATCAATGAAACAATGTGACTGTTCTATAAGGTTGAAGAAATAAAAATCAAGACCCTGAACTATCATCCAGAAAAAAAACCTTTAAGGGTGTTTACATGTTTTGTTTATCTTTTATGAATCTATTTTTTCTATTTAGTAGTGAACACCGTCCTTTTTCTTTACTGTTTTGAATGTTAGACAACATTATAAAGGGATAGAATGAGATTTTTCTTCTGAAAGTAATGTAATTTGGAGATGATTTTTTGAAAGTTTTTCTTCAAATTATTCATATGACTTTTTCACTTGGTTTGCCTAGAAAGTTTATCATTTGCTTTGAGTTTCTTGTCTGTAAGTGTGCTCACTACCAGAATAATTTAGGTACTAGATGGTTTGGCTTTGATTTTGGTCTCTAAACTTGCAATTCTTCTAATTCAACGAATGCATCCTACGAATGAGGAATATGTATCTTATAATGGTCTATAAGCAGTTGATTGGCAATCTCTGCATGGTACACTTTTGTTGGGATTTTACCTCTGGCTCAAGCTTACAAACGCAGTGCTATCCTGAGTTCCATTGAGCCTTCTTCCTGCAGGCTTACTGCGCTCTTGAGGTGAAGATCTTTCCTCCAAGCATTCGTCAGGTATATTACCCGGTCAGCAAGGGACTCAGTGGGGTTTGGTGATAGAATAGCTGGCCGAGCAAAACAAGGGTAAATATGACCACAGGAAGACAGAAATCCCCTTTCGGTGTCCTCTCCACAAGTGTATGTACAGGCGTGAAAGTAAACAGCAACGGTTGACAAATGAGTGGTACAGATTGAGCATGATTGGATAGAGTGGCATCCCTAACCCTCTTCCAAGCTCAGTCTGACTCGGGGCAGGATTTTTCTCTCTGACCTTGTTCATCCCCTCCGAGCGACTCTTAACTCATTCCTGCTCGAGCCAGCTAATTCCCCAAGTCACACACTGGGATGATCACGACGAGTGGGCTGCCAGATTTAGCGAAATCTCTCCCGACCTCACTGCACGTCGCTTGCATCATGACCCCGCCTGGTTGACGGTTACGAGGCGCTTGGAGTCGCTCGAATCACCGAATGAGGTCTTGTTCTCATCTTGTCATTCCGAAACCAAGCACGAACGCTCACCGATGAGATGTGCAAGTCATGCCAGCATGAGACACTTCTACGCGAATGCCTGGATTGCCATTTGTGACTTATGTCTGACAGCAACGGTCGGGGTCGATGGCTCGAAGAGGACGTCATAACATCATTCTTGTTTTGTGAAGCAAAGGTTTCAAGGTTCTCATCGAGGTTTCGTCTCGACTGAATTCGACTTCACTCTCATGTGTGCGAGGACCGACTTAAAAGCAATCATTCAACCTCAGATCCACAACTGATTCATGTCTTATGCGCCAGTCGGTGCCTGGATCTTTCATTGAAGAAAAAATTAACTCAGGAACTCGCCCAGGCAATTACGCGACGAAAGATAAAAGATTCCAAAGCCTCAAATGTTGACTCCCCGAATCTGTTCATCGATCGCTCTACGACCCACTTTCTCAACGGCGGTTTTACCTAATCCAACATCAGCTTTACAATCCAGGTCAGGCTGAAGAAGAATATACTGCTTCGATCTTCATTGCCTCTTCTGCTTCTTGGAACTCGGTCGACTCGACACTCATCTTTTGCTGCCTAAGCGCAGCCCGCGGTTGTAATCGCTGTTGGACCACAATTTAGTACACTCGAACCATATCATATGCCCCAACGTATTCCGTATCAGTGCCTTCAAAATCTCTTCAAGTCTCCAGGTTCCACTCTGTTCGAACCGACAATATTACGCGCGAGGTAAACCTGACGAAGCGCTCAAAATGTGGCTCACGTTGGAACAAACGTCCGGTAGGCAGTCGCATTTCGTGTCAAGAGTCTTACTATTTGTCCTTAGCTAACCTTACCATTGCCTACCCCAGACGCCTCCGCTACCCTCGTCCCGACATGGCGAGGAAACTCTGCGATTGACCCCTCAGACTACGAATCAAACGTGAGAACTTTTGACCAGCTCCTTTGCCTACGCGTTCATACCTGTTGAAATCGAATTCACTAGTGGCTATCACTAACGCATCGTACGCTTTCATTACCTCGACCCACCGATTCTGAATCAAGGCTCACGTTTCTTCTACTCAGAACTCACGCCGCCTTTCATTCACATCACCGCTCCTCAATCACAACCTTCAATTATCAGCAAACAGGCAAACACAGCTGCCACATTCCTCCACTCTGTCATTTTCACTCGACCCTCAACCTTCGGGTAGCCGGAGCTCTTTGGCTCTCCCACCCGGTCATCATGGGTCACCGTCGATCCCACCACCTTCTCCGCGCGCGCGTTTTGCGGACAATCCGATCATAGGTCCCACCAGGGGTCCCTCGCCACAGCTTCATCGTCGGAAAAGTGCTCTGAAATCAAGTTCGTCCATATCCAAAGGGACTTCGCCCAGCCCGCTAGTCAACAAGACCCACCTCGCCCTACAATCACCCATCCCATCCATTCTTGATGCGCATGTCGATTTTTCGACACCAGATCAAAAACAACGACCTAGGACACTTTCCGTGATTCTGACAAGTGAGTCGGGTCGGCTCTTTGCCCCTCTTAATTAAATGCACTTGATCTGAAATTTACTCTAAACGAGTTGCAGGTCCGAACAACTCGGCCAACCGACAGCGTGCGCATAGCATGTCAGATCTAAGTCCGATAACACTCTCACCTGACCCAGATACTGTCGCGGCTGAAGCTTATGAAAAAAAGCGCATCGAGACTCTCGCAACCTCCAATCCAAGCATTCTTGCTGGGTTCGTGGTAGGAAAAGATGAACTGTTTAGAGAAAAGGCTCGGAAAAATCTGGGGTTGATTCACGTGCAAAACACTTCTGAAGAATCACATCTAGCAAATGAAACAGAAGAAAGTCAAGAATCTCAATTTGAGCGACCGCTTTCGCCATCTTCATCAACATCTTCATCGTCATCCGCTTCTTTTGACATGTTTTCAACTCTGACTGGTAACAATCGCACTGGCTCCGATCAATCAACATCTCGACCAAAATTTATGGTCAGGCCCCTCAAACTCAGGCCTCACGTTTTGCCACCATCTCTGGCAGCAGAGCCCGACGACCCTCCCAAGTCACCAGCATTTCCTTCACCTAGTCCTCGAATGGATAACCAAGTTATTCCTTCCGAACCTCGGTCTAGTATATCCGGGCGTAAGCGGAGTGGAACATTGGTGGTTCCCAAAAAGAACAAATCGACCCCAGCCTTACCTCTAGAAGGATCGTCGTCCGCGCCCTGGATTCCTCCCGTACCTCCTGTTCCCAATCTTGATCATCTACAGGCGCCTCCGCCGCGACCACCTCGTAGTACTCGCCGCAATAATCAAACTCTTCCAAACACTGAAACAATAAACAAACAACCTATAGATTCACGAAAGATGTCGCATCGAGACAAAGAAAACATTGCACCCGAAAATTTCAACCCCGATCCCTCAATCAGCAGAACTTTTCAGCATAGCACTTACGCTTCTTCCCAAGCCACGCTCCCTCCCAAATCTCGCGAAGCCGTGCCCAAACGTACCAACTCGACCAAACATAGGCCAACGCCCTCAACTTCGTCATTGACTAGTGCGTTAACCTCTTCAGATTCCAACTCGACTTTAGGCAAAAAAGGCACCCCCACCTCGTTGATGCAGCCGCAGCCGCAAATCATATCAAGTACAAGGTCATCACCCGCAGCCCCAATTCAAATATCAAGGCACGTACACAGTTCAGTACTCCAAGAAACACAGAAAAGTGGTCTTGGTCTCCACTCAAGCAGATATAACATTCCACCACATTCCAGCCCACACCGAATGCATCAAGAAACCACGTCTGGAACCAGTCAACATCCGCAGCAACGTAGCCAACCAGATGCCCCACTCCACGACCTTTCCACCTTATCCAGCGGTACCGATGATGATGACTTTCAAAGTGCCGACGAAGGCGATGAGAACTTCTGGCATGATCCTGATCCTCACGAACCTGAACCGTCGAGCAGTTCCTTGTGTCCTTCAGATTCTTTATCGAACAACCGGAGCATTGCTTCGCATATTCGGATTGATCCTCAGAAAGCCAAGCTTGCTACTGAAAAGTCACCGTACTCGCCTGAAATGATGAGTCGTGATCCAACTATCAGTGGCTCTTCTTCGTTAAACTCGCTGCAATCTCCATTTGAAAATTCATTTGGAAAATCTGCAGGGTACCATTCGAATTCGACCCATTCTCATAATCTTTGGAATCCACCTTTTCGCAGCATGCCTCATAATATCATTGGTGCATTCCCACGCTCTGATAGTATGCTCAGTTCATCTTATTCGATCGCTGCACTTTGCCAAGGCCCTCAGCCTCACGATCCTCTCGAAGACTCGCTCACATCTATGGCAGAACGAAGTGATAGGCTACTCAGTGACTTGGTCTCCGCCGAGCGACCCGCTACTCCTAAAAACGTTCAGTCTCACTCCAGTCCTTCATCGAACTCCTTGCTACAAAAAAATCTCCCTCAGAAGAATTTGTCAGCAACCCCCTCCGATCCCGCGTTCGAAAGCCCACGGCCGGGTGTCAGTGAACGGCTTTTAACACCATACTCAGCCGAGAGGGGTCATCATCGGCCAGATTCATTTATCAACTCGGATATCTCGCGTGCTTCTTCGATTGAAGGTCTGGCTGCCTTGAGAAATGGCAACAGTCCCAAGGTTGATACCAATCTCAAAAAGTCTAATTCTCGGTCCTCCCAGCTTCGCCAATTTTCAAATATTCTTACTGGACGATCTAGGGAAAGTTCAACTGACGGTGATGCAAGTTCTCCGCGCCGTGCGAATTCTAAAACATCTACACGTAAAGTGCATACACACAACCGTCCTAGTTCTATCGCGGTCCGATCCGAGGCTATGCAGACACATGCTATGGTGATGCCTCAGACATGGCGCGCATCAAGTTCACCTGATGAGTACGAAGCATTGTTGAATGAATATGGGCCAGTAGAGATTCGCCGACAGGAAGTGATATGGGAGCTTTGCGAGACAGAACTTACATTTGTCGATGGGATGAGACGCGTGATCGATATCTTTGCTTCACCTCTACGCACTCCGCATGGGACTTGGATTGACGGTGTGCCCACTATCGTAGCCAAGCTCTTAGACTGGCTCGAAGACATAGTGAATCTTCATGCAGAGATAGCTGCCATGGCCGAACGATACCGGCTTCGACAGACACATGCAGACGGTTTGGTCTTGAGGATTGCAGATGCCTTCTTGAAGTTTGTACCACGTCTGGAGGTTCATCAAGCGTATTTGGTTCGGTTTAGTTTAGTCATGACTTCTATCGAAGATATGACTTGTGACCTCGAAAGTGACTTTGGGGAATTTGTGAGGATGCAAACTTCGTTGCCTGAATGTGGACATATGAATCTTCCCAGTTTCTTGCTTAAACCGGTTCAAAGGCTGATGAAGTACCCTTTGTTTTATAAAGTCAGTTTGATGTTATTTTTTCTGTTCAAATGATCAAACGTTTCATTCATGTGTTGACTGGTGTTTGTTTTCGGTTTTCCTCAGCAACTGTGCGACATGACCCCACTGAATCATCCCGACCACATAGCAACTTCGAAACTCTTACGTGCTACTGACTCCATAATTCGCGTCTTGCAAGAAGTCAAAGGAAGGGAAGATGAATATGAAAATTTAAAGGTACTTCAAACACGCATCAAAGGTCTACCAGTCGGGTTCCAATTAGCTCAGCGGGATCGGAGGCTTCTCGCTCAAGGTCTACTACGGCGTGTTCAAGTCTCCTCACGTGAACTGGCCGAGTTAGAGTCGGATCGCTCGCACATCAATAGAAGACAGCTGCGAACTCGTATCTCCGTCATTGGCACTTCGCCTTCGCATTATCCTACCACCGTGCACTCCGCCCGACCACTCTCACAGACCTCGGATCACAGTGAATTTAGTCTGAATAGTATACAATCCAAAAGCTCTACATCTTCAGCATTTGAGCTTTCTCCAGCAAGAAGATGGGCTGGGAATTCAGCTCCCTCATCCGATGAGCTCCCACCACCACTGACACCTACTTCATCAGAGTTCTCACCTGGATTCCCACTCAAGAAGCTATCTAGTCCTATGCCATCTGAGTCACTTTTCAACCTCTCAAACCGTCGAGATCCAACTTATAATCTAAAATCAGAACATTCACCTGATCCAAGAACGCGACAACGGACTATCACCGCTAGTAGATTGATGAAACGTACTAAGGAATCGCCTATACATGTCTTTGTATTTTCAGACTTGATTATCTTGGCTACAAGGCATAATGACGGAGTTCGATTGATCAGATCAACTAAGATCCCTGTAAAAAAGAAAGAACAGATGACACATTACTGCGCTTTAGAAACGATTGGGTTATCGAGGCCATTGTTAGTGGATGACGTCTCGGGTGAATTAGGTAAGAGCTCCCTTTCCTTTTTTTGATAAAAAGTCTCAATCAAAATGCTGATTAATCTACCATATGCTTCATATAAAACAGGATATGACCATTTGATCAGAATCAGCGCATTGCCCATATCCGCAAAAAGCGCAAGTTCGAATGTCAATGAACAGGAAGCTGGTACGACGGTCTTCCTCACGTTTCCTGATCGTCTACCTGGCTCTCGGTACCCAGCGTCTCGGGAAGTGATCCAAAAAGAAAAGTACAAATGGCTCGCAGCTCTGGATCAGTCACTAAGATCGCCTCTCAAGATGAGTGATCCAGAAGGAAAATCAGATCGAACGATGACAAAGACAAGAACTCCTTCAGATCCAGGTCTATGGAATGCACCGATGGACGAACAAGAAAGAGAAGAAAGAACATGGTGGATGGAACGACACCAGACTGTTAAACGAGAGATGGAATTAGAAGCTGCTAGTAATGATGATCATCTTGATGAATCTGAACAAGATAAGAGACGACAGTCTATCAATCAGACCAATGGGAATCATGTGAAATCGGTAATGAATAAAGAATCAAGAAAAAGTTTGCTAATTCAAAACAGACAAAGAGATAGTATGAGAGTAGTCAGCTCAAGTTTAGAAAACCCTGGACTTGGTTTAACATTAAACTTTCTGTAGTTAAAAAAATCAATGGGGCTGTAAATATAGATTGTTCATCATGATCATCATCAAGAAAACATGTAAGTTGTATATGTACTGTATATTTCATAATGCTTGGCTTGGGGAGTTGTGCTGGTGTCTTGTTTTGCTTCAAGTCTTCTTTCTCCCTCTCTCTTTCTTTGGATTTATTCATCGTTCTTCATCTGTGCTTCTTTTAGCTTTTTTACGATATCCTGCACTGCGGCAACTTCATATACCTTTAATTAATCATAATGCTCGTCAAGTGAATACAATTCAACCAATTTTTTATTGCAGTGTGCGGATGGCTTTCAGCTATCAAGATTGCCTCGTGTGAAATATGTTTGTGAGGTTTTTTTGTTGTTGCCGTACAGACAAACTTGCAAGATACGTTTAGCAATTGAAAAATGATTTGAAGTTTCAACGTGTTCCCCTTGGTGCTTTCTTCTCGACAAATGACAGATTCGACAGAATCCCTCTCATCAATGTAGGGTGAGATGAACCACTTTTTGGGAATGTCACTATAACCGAAAGAACGCCGAAATTTCAGAAAGAAATCATTCCAAAAGAAGTTTGAATTTTTGCTTGATGTGAACTTCTATTCACACAATAGCCGATACATCATGGATGTTTGATGGTTTAGCTTGAGTTGAGAAAATGTTGGTTTCACATTCGCACCATGAGAGGATACAAGATGATCAAGCTTGTGAGTGCTGTTTCCGAGTCGGATCATAGCGGGTGATTTATGACGGATCGACAACGTAAAAGATTACATACATCCGAGGATTTGTAAATTCGTCATTCAGGTCTAAACTGAGATCACTTCAGCATTCTCCATATCACTCTATCCAACCAAACCTTTTCAACAACAACCACAACAACAACACAGCTTTACCAAACTGATTTCAATTAACCGTCTTCGATTCCCTCGGGGTTACTTGTCTCTTCTTTCTCCAATAGCCATCAGAGCTGTTACCCCATTCACTCCGGATTTAACTCCATTCCGAGATCATCCAGTTTCAAAACCTTTCAAAAACCAATTCAACACTTTCACTAATACTAAAATGGCACCAATTCCAACCGATGAAACTAAGCAGAAATCACACAGTCAAGTTAGTCTTGATTTGATTTGCTCCACTCTTTTACTGCTCAGTGAATTGACATCATATCTTTTTCTAGGTCGTGATCATCGGTTCTGGTCCCGCGGGACATACGGCTGCTATTTATTTAGCTCGTGCTAATTTGGAACCAATCATGTTTGAAGGAATGTTGGCTAATGGCTTTGCTGCTGGTGGTCAACTTACCACTACTACTGATGTTGAAAACTTGTAAGTATGTTGATTTGATTGGAAATACCGCGGAAGGACCACCCAATTCTATTCTCAGGGGATTAGGATCATCTCAACTGAATTTTTTTTGGCGTTTTTTCTCATAGTCCGGGATTTCCAGAGGGTATAAGAGGACCAGAGATGATGGATTTATTTAGAGCTCAATCAGTTCGATTTGGAACTCAGATATATACAGAAACGATTTCAAAGATCGATTTATCAAAAAGACCATTTAATTATTGGAGAGAAGGATTAGAAGATAAAGATCCAGAAACGGCTGATGCGATTATAATTGCGACTGGTGCATCTGCTCGTCGATTAAATTTACCTGGTGAAGAAACTTATTGGCAATCAGGTATTTCAGCTTGTGCAGTTTGTGATGGTGCAGTTCCAATCTTTAGAAATAAACCTTTGGCTGTCATTGGTGGTGGTGATAGTGCCTGTGAAGAGGCTACTTATCTTACTAAATATGCTAGTCATGTTTATGTCTTGGTGAGGAAGGATCGTCTTCGAGCTAGTAAAGTGATGGCTAAACGATTAATCAATCATCCCAAGGCTAGTACCAACTTTTTGTGTGACGACTGTCATCCCAGATCCGCACGACACTAAAGTTTCTCCTTCGCTACAAACAGGTCACCGTACTCTGGAACACTGTTGCAATTGAAGCTAAAGGTGATGGCGACCTCCTGCAGTCTTTGGAGATTCAAGACCTAAAGACATCGAAACAATCCAACCTACCAGTCAACGGTCTCTTCTATGCAATAGGACATGAACCTGCCACAGCTTTAGTACGAGGTCAATTGGACACAGATGAGGATGGTTATATCGTCACCAAACCTGGTACATCAGAAACCAGTGTGAAGGGTGTCTTCGCTGCAGGTGATGTACAAGATAAGAAATACAGACAAGCGATCACAAGTGCTGGAACGGGTTGTATTGCTGCACTTGAATGTGAGAGATACTTGGCAGAAGAAGAAGCATTAGATAGAGATGGTGAATTGGTGACACCTACACCAGGGTAAGTCTCATCTCTTTTATATCTTGAGACATTTTGACTTTGTGATTCTAATGAGTGATACTTCATGTCTAAATGATTGGTTGTTTTAGATACCTTGGAACGGATGATCCAAAGGCGTAAGATAGTTCGAGTTCTAATATCATTCTGGTCCAATGGACAGTTTAAGAGTATCATTGTCCTTTTCATTCGTGTCAAAATCATTTCTTGTCATTTAACGTACTTCAAAGAGCATACTAGCCTCATAGTTGGTTGTAGTAGCTATAGATCTTCATTTGTTTTTGTCTGTGAAAGGATAATTGTATACGATTTCTTGGTGACGCTCATCACTGAATATAGCTGATAGATTGAGCTTGCTCAAGTGCCACATCTCCGTGCGGGTGGGTTTGTCATAGACTGGTTTTTCACTCGGAGAGTGTGTTGTTTGGTTGCGCTCCCCCACTGCTAACAACTTGCAGGATACATGGTGATGTGTGTGGAGACTTGACTAGGCTGTATGATTATCTCTTCATTATTAATCCAGCAGAAATGAGACAACATCACGGATTGCTAGGCCAGTATATGCTCGAGTCCAGATGCTGCATTACCTTATTTGCAACTTGTAAATGTCAGTATACCAACATGAAGCTCTTGGTATATGTGTGCATGTAATTGGGAGCTTAAGAGATACATCAAGAGCAATGAGAAGGTGAAGTTTGTAAAAAACACCACAATCTCTGGTCAAGCTGTCCAAGCTGTCAACAGCTCGCACCAAACGGGCTAGGATGTTTGAGCATCCAGATTCCACAACTGTGCTGTAAATTTGTTTTGTACGGAGGGCCACACAGATTGTTTAGGGAAGCCTTTGAGGTATGAAATTTGAATCATGTGCAGTTGTGTTTCCCTACAGTACGGCTTGGGGAGAATCTCATTTTACCGGTCGGAATTTATGGGACAAGTGAGGTACAGAAGGATTTAGGGTGCAAGCAGGAAAAGAACATCTTTGGCCTATTTTGGCTTGCACATAGAGAGTCACCTTAGCTAAGTACAGCCATTTCAAAAAAGACTGACAACTTTTCTTTGGAGAAAGTTGTCTTGGCAGCAGGTAAAATCAGACAAAAAAACTTGAATATGCAAGTTTATTCTTTTCTGTATTCTTCCAATCAATGGAGAGACAAAACCCGGGCTTTGCACCTTGACAAGATTTTCAAAAAAATCAATCTTTGTTGAAATGGTTGTATATGTTTGGGGGTCAGAGCATCCATGGCTGTGCCGTAAATTGGTGATGTACAGAGGGTTGCACAGATTTTTTAGGTACATAAGTGTTGGAGGTATGAAATTCAAACAATGTACAGCTGTGATTCCCTACAATATGCTTTTTGTTATGATGTGGTGTAATTGTCACTGAGTGTGTAATGTTTGTATGACATCATAGCTTGTATGCTAATACTTTTCTCTATCTAAAATAGTCTTATATCTTATTAGCATAGATACTTTATCTATTGTAGAATTGTTGTTAGATCGGATTGGTTCTTCCTCACCTTTCCTATATGTTCTAACATCTCTCTTCTAGTGAGAATCAATCTTATCAGGTTATGAGCCCACCTCGGTGACTCTATAAGATTGCACTCTCGGAAAACCGTTTCGATAACTATCAACAAACTTTAACAAGTATAGTTCGAAACTGTCTAGAAGACTGTAAAGGAAAAGTCCATCTGATACAGACGAAAAACTAAATCGATCGTCAGAAATAAACTCCGAAACCCTAAAAACCTCTAGTTTACCACTTCTCTGTTTTGATCTTCGATAATCTTCATCATCATGTCTGCACCAACTTTCACATCTGGTGAGAAGGGCAAGTCGCCCGATTCTTCGTTAGCACCGTCATCTGCCTCTAGACCAGCTGGTCGTCGAACCGAATCTTTGATTCAAACTGAAAGCAAAGTATTGCCATCCTTGCAATATTCGAATGAGTGTTTAGAGGCAACTGGAGTTAAGCCATTAGAAGCTCCTGGCCCAGAATCAAACTACCATCAATGTCAGTTTGTAATGGGGACAATAATCAGAGGATCAAGTTTTGGTTATGTACTTCGGGAAAATCAACTGGTACCTCTTCCTGCATCTGAGGAACATGATCGATGCAAAGTATCTGCATTGATACTTTGATATGTTCATCCTTCGAATTACAAATTTTTGTCATCGTACGAAGACGATCCGAGAAGTCAGTGGAAAGCTCTGCGTGAAGCGCATCAAGATGCTTCGTCAGGATCCATTATGTATTGGCTTAAAAAGTTAGTCACTGCAAAAATGGGTGATCTGAGTATAACGGAACATCTAGAATCAATGTCGGCGGATTATCAGAAATTCAAATCGTTGGTTACTCCTGATAAGCCACTCACTGCCGATACTGTCTTCGCCACAGCAGTTAGTCTGTCATTGACTGCTGACTGGCAACCAGTCTTAGCTCCATTACTTCAACGTGAATCAGTCACATTGACTACTATCTTGAAAGTGCTTCGAGAAGAGGCAACGAGAAGATCGATTTCTTCTGAGGAAATAGAAGTCATAGCAGCTGCTAAGGATGGAAAGTCGAAAGATGTATCATGCTCTCATTGTTCGAAGCCTGGTCATGTGATGGAGGATTGCCAAATTTTAAAATCAAAGCTGGAAAAGTACAAGGTTTTGAAGGCGGAAAAAGCTGAACAAGATACTCCAAAGTCTAAACCGACAAAGAATCAAGTGAGAAGATCGAAGGCAGCAAAAGCAAAAGCAGCTGCTATTGCCGAGCTCTCCTCTGCTTCAGAAGCTTCGATTAATATCAACTCTGAAATTTCTTCTGCCGCTGTAATCAAAGCGTCGTTGGGAAAACCACTGGATGGCTAATCGACTCGGGACATCTCAAGTTATGACTCCATGCTCAGATGTAGTACCAGAAAGAAACTGACGATACAACTATCAGTCTAGCAAATGGTTCGATGGTCAAATCAAGTTCAAAAGGATTTGTATTGCTACCGTTTTCTGATTTTGAAGATATCAAATCACTCTATGTTCCTTCTCTGTCCGAACCTCTTCTATCTGTCTCTAAACTTGCCGATAAGAAAATCACTACCGTATTCAATTCATCGACTGTTTCGTTTGTTAAAAACTGTAAAATCACCGGTGATGTGGTTGGAACTGGATATCGACATGGCAATCTATATTATCTCAATCAAGAGGTATGACATTCGAAACCTAGTGATCAAACGTCGAAAGCAATGGTCTCTGACGTACATTTATGGCACCTAAGATTTAACCATCCTGGTTATGCAGCTTTAAAACGAAAACTCAATTCATTAAACATTAAGGTGGATGAAGCTGAATTACGTAAGTTGCAAACTTGTAGCATATGAGTTCAAGGGAAAATGAGACGACGTAACATGTCAAGTCAAGCAGGGTGGAGATCAATCAAACCTCTCAGTGTGATTCACTCTGATGTTTCATCTTATTCTGTTGTATCTCGAAGAGGATTTAAATATTTTGTAACCTTTATTGATGATTATACAAGATTCACTAAAATTTATCTAATGAAATCGAAAAATGAAGTTCTTTCGAAATTTAAATTATTCTTCAATGAGATGACAACGAAAGTTGATGGAGTTATTGCTGAGCTACGTTCTGACAATGGTACGGAGTACATTAACAAAGAATTCACTTCATTCTGTGCAGAAAAAGGAATCACTCAAACAACTGGACCGCCTGACTCACCACAACTAAATGGTGTTGCTGAAAGGTGTAATAGAACTGTAAAAGAGAAAGTTCGTTGCTGTTTGATTGAATCTTCTTTGCCAGATAGTTTTTGGGGGGACGCTTTGGAGTATGCTATTGAGACTTTGAACAACATGCCGACAAGAACGAACAAAAAATTTCAATCACCAATTTCTTTACTGGGTATTCATGAACATCAAGAACATACCTTCCATGCATTTGGTTGTCAGGTATGGTTTCATGTTATAAAACCAAATTCGACGCTCAAACCTCGAGCACGTCATGCTATTTTTCTTTCTTATTTAAACAATAACAAAGGTGCTATAGTTTGGGACACCGAAAAGAAGACTGCTTTAAAAGCAACTTCTCTAGTGTTTCTTGATAAAGTATTTCCAGGATTAAAATCACCAAAATCTTGCGAAACACAGGAGCCAATTGGAAACGACACTCTTCCATGGCCAACTCTTGAATCTAACAAACAAGTCATTACAAAAGATTCATTACCATCTGATTCAATCACACAAGAGGAATCATCTTGACCAAAACAAACGACGAAACCTCCGACTTGTTTTGGTAACTTTGTAAATTCAGCGTCTACACAAAAACAGCCTAAAAGGTATGGAGAGTACGGTAGAGCTGCATTTATTGAATCAGAAAAAGAACCATCTACTTATAAACAGGCCAAGAAATCAGTCAACTGGGATCTTTGGAAGTTGGCGGCCGAAGCAGAAATGTGTTCATTAGTGGGGAAGGAAACTTGGAAACTGGTTCCTAGACCTGCTCGACGTAAAATCATCCGATGCAAGTGGATTTTCAAAAACGAAAAGAAACGTCGACATGTCAATTGATAAATTAAAAGCAAGACTTGTTGCATTAGGATTTTCTCAAATTAAGGGAATTGATTTTTCAGAAGTTTTTTCACCAACTTCACGTCAGGAGTCAATAAGACTATTTCTAAGTCTTATGGCAAAAAATGGGTGGAAAGGAGTAGCAGTAGATATTAAAACTGCATTCTTAAATGGAGATCTCGATGAGGAGATCTACATGGAGCAATCTGAAGGCTTTGTAGACAAAGATCATCCTGATTGGGTTTACAGAATCTTAAGATTTTTATACGGTTTGAAGCAATCTCCGCGTCAATGGAACATAAAATTACATGAATATCTTATTTCCATTGGTTATACACAATCAGCACACGATCCTTCAATTTATTTCAAGAAGGATGATCAAGGTGAAATCAATGCAATGTTGGTAACTCATGTCGATGACATAGCAGTAACAGGAACCGACAAAGAAATTGATAACTTTTGTGTACTCATCAAAAAGAGATTTGAGGTTTCTTCAGATAAACCATTATCTCACTTTCTTTCTCTTAATATTTCAAAAGTTAAAGAAAACAAAATAACAGTTGATCAAACACATTATATATCAGATCTTCAAAAACAATTTATGAAGTATAATGTGAAGTGTTCAAATACACCAAATGACAAATCATTCAAGAATTTAGTTCCTACATCAAATGAGGATACAATTTCTGAAGATCCGTATTCAAGCTTAATCGGAGGTCTGTTGTGGGTTGCCCAGTGCACTCAACCTGATATAGCTTTTGTTGTTAATAGGCTTTCGCAGTTTTTGAAAAAGCCTTCAACAATACATTGGAATTCAGCATTAAGGGTATTAGGGTACTTGGTCAAGACGAAGGAATTGAAGTTAAATCTAGGAGGAAGTGAATTGAATCCGACTGCGTATTCAGATGCGGATTGGGCAGAAGATCGTCATGAAAGAAGATCAACTACAGGATATGTTTTTATGTTAGGTATTGGACCGGTTTCATGGAGATCAAGGAAGCAAAGGACAACGTCATTGTCGAGTACAGAGGCTGAGTATATGGCGATGAGTGACTCATGCAGAGAAGCACGTTGGTTGGTGTCAATTTTAAATGAACTCAACATTTCAAGAGGGAAATTATTTAAATTATGTGTAGACAACGAAGGGGCAGAAGCTTTAGCACAAAATCTGTCTCATCATTCTAGAACGAAACACATTCATACAAGGTACCATTTTGTTTGTCAGTGTGTGGAAGAAGGAATTGTTAAACTAGTTCATGTGTCTTCATCAAAAATGCTAGCGGATATCTTTACAAAAGGTCTCTCTAAAATCTTACTAATAAAGCATAGGTTATCATCGAGTATTTTTTAACAAGTATGTTATTAGCACGGGGGGGTGTTATGATGTGGTGTAATTGTCACTGAGTGTGTAATGTTTGTATGACATCATAGCTTGTATGCTAATACATTTCTCTATCTAAAATAGTCTTATATCTTATTAGCATAGATACTTTATCTATTGTAGAATTGTTGTTAGATTGGATTGGTTCTTCCTCACCTTTCCTATATGTTCTAACATCTCTCTTCTAGGTAAGTTATTCTATCATTGCAATATCAACCTTTCCTATATGTTCTAACATCTCTCTTCTAGTGAGAATCAATCTTATCAGAAGTTATTAGATTTTCAGATACCAATCTCAAGGAATAGAAAAACAATAATTTGACGTACCAGGTCGTGTTCCAAGTACGACTCAAAATCCAGCCGGGAATAGCCACACAGCTGAACGGACACGGCCACGATACCATCCATGGATATTGCAGGCAACACTGACCATCGGAAGGCCTGAGTGGCGCGCTGGAGGCGAGGAGTACGTTGCCCAATAGGTGCCCGCGCATGGGTCCAAAACAATCAACGTTTTGAGATCACACTTTCATCTGAAATGCAGCATGTTAATCCTCGTGTAACTTTTGAGCAGACACAAGACCAGCGAAAACCACACATACCAACAAACACAAGACATCATGGATCAATTTCCGAGATCTCCGCTATATAAGCACCCCACACAATAGCTGACTGGTTTGGATGGACTGTTCGGGGTTTTTTTTGAGTCCAACCAAGGTGAGTTCGAAGTTTGCTTGACAGAGTATTCACCGAGACAGTTCTTCCAAAGGCATCTTGAATCTTTGCTTGGAGTTCATCAAGATAAAGAGTTGGATCTACCTCGAGCGCTTGCAATATGAATTCTTTCTCGGGTTCTCCTAGAGCTGTTGGCGCGCCAGCTTGCATGTGATCCAAAGGATTGGTGACCACAGCTCGAGTGGCGCGGTAAAGATCGAACCAACAGCGAACGGTGGTGAGAGAGAGATTGACTCCGGTTGACCGTACAATCTCAGGAAAGGTCATTTCTTGTAAAACCATGCGGACCACAACCAAATTGATATCGGAGCTGTAGAGATTTTTGGGCATGATGATTATTGGAATGGAGAGCTTGTTGGCCTTTGGTGAACGAAATAATGCGAAATAATGGAGGAAAAAATGATTTGAGAAATCACAAATCTTTTCTTCGTGGTAATGAGAGAAAATGAAAAGAGGAAAACGGGGGTGGAAGAGGTGAGGAAGTAGGCAAGAGGGCAAGAGAGAGAGAGAGAGAGAGAGGAGGGTGACAATACCACCCTTTTTTCCAGGCTGTATCAGGCTAAGCGTGAGAGCCAAGAAATCGGTCGACTCGGGGAAATGTCAAACGTCAGAACTGTATTCCACGGTACATTTGGTCAAAATCCTTTTTTTTTTAGTTTTTGCCGGTTTTGGATTAAATCCCAACACAACACAAGAAATTACAAAGTTACCGATGATTCTAGGAATGGCTGTACATACTTTTTGCTACATATTTTTTTTGGCGGGGAAAACAAGACCAAAAGTATATTTTCTGTTTTTTTCCCTGCCAAAAAAAAGTATGTAGCACAAAGTATGTACGCCTACATACTTGCTTTGACAACTGTCATCGTGGTACTGTAGTTACATATGTAGTGGACAACTCAAGGGCAAAATGAGGCTAGCTAGCAAACCTATGGATT